TTTGTCTGTTTCCAAGATTGTAGAAAGCTTGTACATTTACTTGCACCTTTGCTTTTCCTAGTGTTAAAGTTTTGTCTGCACTGTAATTGGATTACCCATTGGTTAGTCAATGAACTTATTGTTTATGCAGTGCTAAAAATAACTTTGAAAATAAATATTCTTCACCTGTATTCACCTTGGCATGACCTGCTCATACATGAGGCAGACTAGAGATTATAAAACCCTTTAATTAGACAATTGTTAAAAGTTGCTCTCCCTCGGGCAATGTTTTTTGATCAACCAGCACTATACAGGGTTCCCACAGTCTTGAAAAGTCCTTGCATTTTAGGAGAAGTCCTTGAAAAGTCCTTGAATTAAAAATCTTTGAATGTAGTAGCCTGAAAAGTGTTTTTTAATGCTTTTTGGTTGTCCAAGACAGAATATAAATCATAGCTCAGAGAAGTTAAAGGTTATCTGCATAAAGCGCTTTTTGTTTTATGAAATAACAAGATGGTGGAATGAACAGTTCAAGCCTTAAGTAAAGTCCTGTTAGAATTATGGACTGAGAATGTGCATTTTTGTACAATCTGTGAAATTACTTTCCTGGTAGGTGATCCTTGAAAATCAAATGTGGTGTTTGAAAAGTCTCCTGGAAAAGTTCTCAAAAAATGGTTGCAATTTTTCGGATGAGCTTTGCTATATTTATCAAGGCCATCAAATATAATTGCATTGTTGTGAATTGCTGCTACCTGTTTGTTTTTATTTCTTAAATAGTTAATGTTAATATCCATTACATACATTTGTTGTATGATGCTTCATTTTGGGATTGCTCAAAATTAGAATTCAGAATGCTGTTGCATGCCTTTTACTGGCTTCGAGCTTGGAATATCTGGCCAAAACTTAGTAACTTATGTTGTATAATTTCTCACACACTGTTTGCTTTTCTTTCAGTGCCTGGAAAAGCACATTAAAATCTCACTAGTTACGGCTCACTTGCACCTTAGCATCAATATCCCTATTGCTGAATGTTTTGATTTTATGGTTGATTGATTGCAGTTGTCGGGCCATCATAGAATTTTGCTTACTGGCTGTTTAGAAGTGATACAGGTACACATGCATAGTGCAGGGTTCTCAATAGAAGGCGGCACCCGGCGATTGATCGCCGCTTACTTTGGGATTTATAGCCGCTTACTTTGTGTTTAAGACGCTTTTCTTTGCTTTGTTTTGACACCTCTGGCTTTGCTGAAGAGCCTCCTACTTTATCAGTGATCACCTCCTACTTAAAAATCTATTGAGAACCCTGATAGTGTAGAACTAGTCATCCTATAATTATTGTCTGTTGCAGTCTGAGGATTAAGAGAAATAAGACCGTCACTAAGCATGGAAAGTTGTTTAAGAAAATATTAATATAAACTTTCAATGTCAAAATTAACACTGATACAGCTGTCCATGTAAGATGTGAAATTTTACTTGTTGTATGTACTCTTTAACTTAATGATATATATAAAATGGACAAGAGAGCTCAAGCTGATCTCCCTTAGAGAGAAATAACTGTGTGCCCTTTTAGTTTATTTTGTGTAACCTTCTGTTTCATCACCAAGGTCTTATGTCCAGCTGAATTTGTGACTTTCCAATCAATCAAAAATAGCTTAGTGCAGGAGGCCACTTAAGATAATTATCTCAATACCATCGTCAATTTGACAAAGCAAACAGTAAGACATGTATAGTACTTAATACATTATTTCCAGGGCTGTCACTAAGGGCCGGGGGCCAGGGATTTCCCCCGGCTACTCAGAGCATGGCCCCCAGCTACTTTCGTTATTAAATTAAACCAAAAGAGCACACCTTTGAAACACACAAAGACTATCCATCAAACTAAATGAAAGTTTCATCTGCAGCAGGTTCAAGTAATTTTGAAATACTCGTGTGCAAAAACTAAGAAATGTCGGAAAAAGACATCTGCCTTAGATTTGGTACTAGTACACACGCGCGAAAACTCTCCGTTCGTGAAATGTCAGTAGGGAGTTTTAGCCACGACGACGGCGACGGCAACGAGAACCAGTTGAAAAGTTGTTACCAGTTGTGCAGTTTAGTTTTGCCATATTTTATCCCGCGATTTTTCGTACGTTATGCTTGTTTTAGCGTTATCATACTTTTATTTTTCAACTAACCATAGTAACCTTGTGTTTATGATGCTTTTTCGTACATTCATCGTCCGCTTGTCGTCTTTCCGCTTCTCCGTGAGTTAATTCATTTGTAATATTAGTTTTACTTTTGTTTTCTGTAACTTGTTTCCTTCTTACGTATAACTAAACGAGGATTTACAATTGATTTTAAAACTCATGTTAATTCATTTGCACCATATAAGAATCGATTGTCCTTTGCACATTTTTAACATTTGTCAAGTATCGTTGTGATTTAACACTTCACTAGCCAGCATGTGCCTTGTCTGCGTGAAGACAAGACTGCGCGGATAACGTGACCGGTGCCTACCTGTCATCTATTTCAGACCCGGTGCTTACATGTATACTCCCATTTGGCGGCCACTAAAAAAACTCTCCAACGAGCCTTTACGTAAAGTAAAAACTTATTATTTTAGGGTCTCCGAATGATGTTGTTTTCTTTAATAAAGACGTGATCATCATAAAACCGCTAATGATAGCTGTACTGTTGATGAAGATTGCCTTTTTGCGGCGGTAATGCGTTTTAGACAACGGTAGAAGTTGCACTGCGAAAACTTCTTGTGGGGGGGGGGGTCTCTAGGACTGCTTGCGACTTCCCCGGCTACTAACAACAAATACCCGGCAACTTGAAATCTTAGTGACAACCCTGTATTTCTAAGAAAAGTAAGTGATTAAACCAGGCAGGATCCTCTTTACTAAAACAGTTAATGTACATGTTCTATTCCTAATTTTAAACTTGTTTTTGCCACAACCTGGGATCTGTACACATGTAAGTCTGCTACAAACTGTACTGCCCGCATATTATTCAAGGATTTTTTTGGTGTGAAGTTAAGTTGATCTAGAACAGCTAGAACTGTATAAGGTGGACTGGGTAACTATTAATTGCACCATGAAAATAAAGGAGATACCAAACTGCATGTACACCTCCAGGGGAGTTTGGTCTACAGCATGCATGCATAGTGTGTGCTATTTTTGTCAAGGCAATTGGTTTCACACTGTTGTGAGCAAGATCTCATTGCAGTTAAAAATGACCATATTGTACTGTAATAGCTTGCAGAATGTTCATGAAAGTTTAAGTTGAGGTGTTTCTGTAGGTTTTAGTGAGTACTGTTCCTGCAATTTTTTTTCATTTGTTCAGCCGTAAGTCATAGTTAATTAACGATCAAGAACCTTGAAAACTTAAAAAAACACTGATGAGTTAATTCATACCCAGTTGTTGAGAAATTAAAACATTTTGAGGTTTGTTCTGATTGTTTTCAAACTTGTGATCTTTCTAGACTTTGTAAACGCATGTTCTGATTGACGTCAGTTACATGTGAATCCTCTGAGGCAACAAAGAGCTAAAAATACTAATGACCTCTATGTTTTGAACTTAACTGCATTTAATTGGCATCAGTGAGTTGTTACAAATAGTTATGGTAAGCCCTGGGACTCATCTTGTGGAAAATCATGAGTCCCTACCAAAAACCAATGAGTTCCAGTTCAAAAAAACAAGGAGTCCAGTTGAAAATGCATGGGCCTTTAAGTAACCAACTGGAGACAGATGCCAAAACTCTTTACTTACAGTTTACTGAAGTTAAAATATATTCCTTCTATATATTTAAAGCACAAACAAGACTAAAATAAATACATGTATGCATCTTTAAACAACAGCCACAAAAATCACTCCTACAGGATATTTTACCGAAAAATCTTCAACTTGATCCATCATTCTTTGTGTCCTACGGGACGCATGCCATGAGTTGTTTTATGTCTTTGGATACTTTTATACATCAGGGATGTAGGACTCAGAGGTAGCAAAATCACTGCCTCATTACAGTACAATGTATTGTTGGTGCTAAATGTATGTATGGCAAGGCCAGAATTAGAGATTGAGAACTGATTTTGAAAAAGAAAATGCATAAACACATCTTATTAATAAGTACACTGTATTAAATCCATGCCACCTACACTGTTATTAGAACATGCTGGTCATACATGTATACAAGGCTTTTACAGAAAAGAGTGATTATGAGCCACCATGATTATTATCGTATTTCTGCAATTTCGTTTCATACTTGTACTGCTACATGTAAAGTAAACAAAATAATATGCTCTTAGTTGTTTAACATTACAATATGGTACTCAATGATGCAGTTAAATGTGTCCATAACAAATTTAAACAAGTCTCAAGGTGTTGTGCTAATAATTGTTGAAAGCCTAATTAGATCCTGAGAACTTTTTGCTTGTCTCCAGTGAGCTTTTTTTCTCTCTCTGTTGTTTACTTGACAAAAAATAGCTTGTACAGTACCTTTCCAAAACTAATTTGTTAACTGTGAATAACAACACTTGTGTAAATTATATATGTGTAATTCTGTGATCAAATAAAATTGCTAACAATTGGTTGAATTTGGCCATAATTTTTTCCAGCACACGAATTCATAATTTAGTAAACATCAATAGCTTCTTAACCCTGTTGGATCTGCCTTCCTTTGAATTTTTATCACTTGTCTTATATTCCTCTCATTTTTAAAGAGGCTGACTGGAACGTGTACAAAACTCGGCTAGCTCAACTTATTTACATACATGTAGAGTTTGCACTTACACAGGGTACAATGAAAGTCAGCTTTACAGCTGTATCTAGCATGTAGTAGCCCATATGTCATTTCAAGTTGCCTGGCAAAAATTCTGTTATTTGAATTCCTCCTAAAAACTTCACTTGCTTGTTGGGCAAGTTAAGAACAGAAGTCATTATGGCGTAATAGCATATTCCACGAGCCCTTGTACTTGTCTAGCTTTTGCAGACACTGTACTTTCTTTCCAGGCTGCAAAATGACATAAAAGATGAGCCAATTTTGAATTAAATTTTTTGTAAGGCAATTGGCTTTTATAAAAAAGAAAAATTCAAGCCTAACAAGTAATTATCTGCTTTTTTATAGCGGGGAAGGTGATAATATTAGAGTATATGTCCGTGTCAGGCCTCCGGATAAGCACCTTGAAACAGATGTTGATCGTACACCATGTTTAGAAGTAACATCTGGAAACACTATTGTACTACAGTCAAAGCCTGATCCAAAGAACTTTTCATTTGATCATGTAGCTGATATCAATACAACTCAGGTAAGTCATACTCTTTTACAAAAGTTGGCAAACAAGTTTTGTATTTTTTTTCTGTCCCCGTTTGTGAGTTGTGCTAACTTCTTCATCTACTTTCTTCAACTGAAGCAAGTATTGTTTTGCCATTTTTTTCCTGCTGAGCGCACAGTAGTGTACATTGCTATTTTAGGCACTAATTTAAAATCCAGCTTCTCTCTAAAAATGTAAGTCTTTCATTACTATAATTACTTTTTTACACAGGAAGAAGTATTTGGAGCGGTTGGTAAAAAGATTGTTGAGGGTTGTGTGGCAGGCTACAATGGAACTATTTTTGCATAGTGAGTTTTCCAATAAGTTTATTACCCAGGGCCCAGTTGTTAGAACGCCGATTAGCGCTTAACCCCGGGATAAATTTAACCGGGGTTTCTTTTCTTTTGTTCAATTTAAAAAGCATTTTCTCGGATAATTTTCTTTGTTGTTTTTAAGGGCATCCAATCATCAACTTGCTGACAGAAAGAATTAAACTGAATTTACTTTTTAAGCTTTCAAATCTGAATTCAAAGCTCGCACTAAACCTGGGTTATCTTAACCCAGCTTTGAACAAAGATCGGCCCAGAAGTTTAGATGTACCTCAAATTAACATTGCTGAGTATAAAATGTGGAATTCACCCGTGATGTCTGCTTTTGTCGTTCATACAAGATTGGTTGCAACTGGAGACTGAATAGTTATAATGTACCCTCACATCATGAACATTGTTAAATTATGCAATACAATAACCCTGCAGTGTACATGTAGTACAATGTGTGTAAAAGAGTCATTGATCTTACATTGCTGACTGGTCATCGGAAGGGAATCTTGCTGAGTCATGTGTTTAGCCATTCCATAAGATTGGTGCTTGCACTTTTCTGTTGTCAATTTTTCATTGCTGCTCATTGTAAAACTGATCTTAAGTATTCGCATCCTGACATATCTTGATTGTTGTTGTTTTTTTTTCCTCTAGTGGCCAGACAGGGTCAGGAAAGACTTTTACCATGCTTGGTAAGTCTATTATGCTCCAATGGTAGTAATTTGAAGTATGACTTGAAACTCATAATATTCTGTTGTCCAACCCCTGATGAGAATGGAATGACTCAATAAACAGTCATGTTAAAAATTTTTATCTGCATGCACAGGACTTGAAAAAAATATGAATTTGAATTTCAGTTTGTCCTTCAGTCAAGGAGCTCTCAAACTGTGCTTCACCAAGGCAGCTAAAGCTGTATGTGCTTATGTCACATCCTTAGTTTGCTTTGATTTATTTGTAAAAATTACTTGCCCAATAATGGACCCTTGTCCATTGGGACAGGTAACTTGCCCAACAGAAAAATCCTCTTGTCCCATTGCAGACAAATAGAGAGCCCTGTTTGGGCCTTTGTGTCAACATACACTAATTGAAGAATGACATTGAAGCGAAATGGCTTTGACAATTTATACAGTACAAATTAAAGGGACCATAATATGTAAAAAAAGCTTTATCTGAATGTGTAAAGGGCAAGACTAGAGCCATTATGTATTCTGTAGAAATGTAGTGTTACATAGCTGATTTTTTTGTTGTTCTGTGGCATGTTAGGGCCTGCTGAGGGAGAGGAAGAGAGCTTTACTCATCAGCTCCGTGGGGTCATCCCTCGTGCCTTTGAATACCTGTTCAGTCTTGTAAACAGAGAACAAGAAAAGGTAATCAATTAAAATTGTCAGATAAGAGTGCCAACTTGTGGTCTGTTTTGTGAGAATTGTATCTGCATATGAATGATTTTCCTCATTCATTTGAAGGTGACTAGTTGGTATACAAGATAACTTTATTAAGATGAGAATTGTCCTCTTACCTCTATGCAGGAAGATAATAAAATATCATTATTTTCAGCAATAAAATGTTGCCTTTCAATTTCTCCTAAGCAAAGCATGTACTTCATATTCCGAAAATGAATGTGCTATCTTTGTTATTGTGTGTCTTAAATTTTGTGGAAAGAAAACTACAGGCTTGTTCATATGAGCCAAAATATACTTTGGCTACCATAAGCCATTACTTTGCACCCAAGTGGTAAAATAGCCTCTACCCGTTTCCTTGCCCCCCCTCCCCCCCCCCCCCTTCCACAAGAAAGATCCTGACTACAAGGGGATGTGAGTGTAAATAATTATGATGAGTCAATGGGTCATGAGTCAAGTGCATTCGACTCCCGATAATTTGAACCTTCAAGGGAAATAGAAAAAGTTCGAGTTATCGAG